TCTGCCAGTGTGCCACCTGTGAGGACTCACCTTTCCACAATGTGAGTGGCATGGCAGACTCACGTGAGGAATGCTGTGGACTAGGTGACTTTTCCCTTGAACCCTCAAGGGGGTGAAAATCTCTCAGGACTCATAGATTCTGCCTATAAAACCATGACTGCCAATTCCCACTGCCAAACTCTCAACATTTAGTACAGTTTCCCTCTCTGGCAATAATGGCTGGCCCTGGTCGTGAGCCGCCGCCACTCACCAGCTTTGTGTAGCTGGCATTAGTCCGTAACACACATCACACAAAGCGGGCAGCAGGCACAGCATGTACTTTCCAAGAGAAAAGAGTCCAGGGGACACCTCTGTCCACTGTATTGCATTTACTGTCTTGTTTAAAATGAGCAAGAGCTCTGGAAAGATCTAGTTGTGTATCCTCACGTTTGGCCAGTTCTCACATGACGGTGCCGTGTTGGAACCGTTTCCCATGTAGATGTAGCCATGTAAGGCGGGCATGATGTAGAGGCCTGTTCGATACCCATAATTTTTGCATGCGTTCAGTCACTTGTAGCTGGTATGTAGAACCACCTGGAACACACAAATCCAAATGTCTATGCTCAGATTTCTGCTTTCCATTACACTGAGACCTCTGGGATGTCTGATAGACCACGCGAGTGTAGGAACCACTGTGGGACTGCAGCGATGTGTTCCTTGAGCAGTCCTTTTCCAATGCACAGAGCTAGGCAGTTTTAATCTGAGCACTGGTGCCCAATGTGTTTCCACCATTCTGCTAAGTCGTTAAACGCAGCAGGTTTTCAGCAACACCAGCAGCCCAGGTGATAGACACAGCTCAACATCTCTGAAAAGTTTTAGAGTAGTCTCAAGGGGCCATGCTAGACACACCTTTCCTAGTACTCCCGAGACAGCGGTCTGAAGAAACAGTAGGCAGGCTTCTATAGGGGACAGATGGGACTTGTTCGGTTTCTGGGAGTTAATTCAGGAAGTACACTCAGTGTAGTCCACATTTTGAATTTCACGGTTATTGCAGCTTCCTCAACCTAACCTCCTAATAAGATTCATAGGTATCAATTCAGTATAAATGTAAAGAATGTTGCATTTTTTGTTTTTGCTTTTTAAGTGTTTATAAAAAGCATTTGAAAATATGTTCATATTCAAATGTTTTATATGTACGTGTATATATATGTGGATATATGTATATATACATCCATATATTATACACACTCAAACTAAAGTATATAACTTTAAGTGTGGTCTTGGACCAGTATTGCTAAATGGGCCAAGTTTCTCCCCCAATAAACAGTCTCTTGCAGCTGTGGATGTTGGCACCACCCCATCCTCCATGGGGAGTCATTTTGCTAGGATGTATCAGGGAACTCCCTTGTCTACTTCTGATCAGATCAGCTGCCTGTGACACATGAAAGTGTATCAGTGGTCCCTGAGAGAAATCCAGTCCTTAAGGGCAGTGTCACAGCCTCACACCTTCCAAACGAAGCCTGTACTTCTTGACACCTTTACTTCTCAAAGTCGAGTGACTCTTGGTGTTTTCCTTCCATCTTTTAGAATGTGTAACTGATGCTTGCCAGTGTCTCTTGTATCTTCCACTCTTTCTTGTATGTATATGTAAGTTAAATGCTAATAGGCCTTATTATTAAAATAGGCCTTAATTTTGATATCAAGATATTGGCAAGTTTTCTTTTTGTAAGTATAAGTTTCTGCTTATCTGTTGGGTTGAAGTCCTAAGTACTTAGTCATTTGTATAATCCGTTCCGTGTTGTGTAGATTAAATTAGAACTGTTGGCTCCAAGAATCTTGACTATTGTAATTATCCTTGCACGGTGCATTCACTACGGTGCCTATAATGGTATGTTCAGGAATGCTATAAAATCGAGTCGCAGTGAAGCCCAAGTAAAAACAAGTTTAGTGACACTGAATAGAAGGATGGAGGGTTGGCAAAGGGAAAAATAGGTAGGGTGCAAGAGTCAGGCTGGCTCAGAGCAGAGATCACAGAGGAGGAGGGCCTGTAAAACTACAGATGCAGTAGAATTATAAAAGGTTTCTCCGTGCAGGACAAGTACAGGTGAGCTTGTAGGGTTATAGTTCTGCATACAGCGTGAGGCCCTGGGCTCAGTACTCAGCAACTAAAATAAACAAATCAGGAGTCTGTCAATGGAGAATGGTATTGCTTGTGCCCAGGCTGCTTGTGCTCCCTGTAGAGCAACAGGGACACCAAGGATGAATTCAGAAACAAAGACGTGGCCTTTTGCATGGTTAGTCACCCCGTTTCCTCATTCAGTGAAATGCTTTTCTAGACCAGGAACTTGTTCCCCTTCCCACTTAAATAGGAGAATTAGAACTGCCAGGCATAGTGGTGCACACCATTGATCCCAGCACTCAAAAGAGGGGGCAAGGAGGTCTGCATAGTGACCTCCAGGCCACCAGGGCTTCATAGTAAGACTGTGTCTCCAACAGAAAAGAAAAGAAGGTACTTACCAAATTCAAAAAAGAAATCGCAATCGTTGGCAAGTTTAGGAATAATTGAAGGCTGAGGGTTGGGTTTATCTTCTGCAGAGTGGAAGTTAAATTGTTATGACGACTGAATCCATCCGCAAGGGTACATTCTCAGAAAGTCTCACCAATGTGAGCCCAAAAGTGTCCTGAACAAGGGGGACACCAGTAGACATGCCAAACTGGATGGAGAAAGCCCAGGAGGCCTCACCCCTACACAGAGAACTACAGGTAACTGAAGAAGGCTGGGAATAGGTCCTCCCCAGGGAAGAGCACTGCGATTGGTTGTTCAGTGCCACAGTCAGCCCTGAAACATAAACACAAGGAACATTATACAGACTTAACAGCTCTCAATCTAACCATACTTAGGGATATATACATATGTGTATGAAATAACAATTTGTGGAAAAAAGAGGCCACGAGTTTGAAGGAGCCTAGAGACAGGTATATGGGAGGGCTCAGAGGGAGGAAAAGGAAAGCAGAAATGTTGTGATTATAATCTCAAAAAAATTAAAAAGAAAAAAATGCCATCTTACATGCGGCATTGTGCTTTATCGTAAAGGATCCCAGGAGCTGTGTGACCTGGTTTCTCAGCAATCCGAGCTGTTTCCACATCAGGAGAATGGGGATAATAGTTACTTCCTGTGACTTGGACAAGGCTTTACATTTTAAGGAAAAACAAAATTAAAAAAAAACTATAAGATAAATAGCAACCATATCACTATGATTTGCTAACTCAGGGAAGAACACGTCGAAGTGTAAATGTGTATTTTAATGATAAGGATAATTTGTCTTCGGCCCCTTTGTGTGTCTTTGGTTGGTTGGGAATGAGATGGGGTTAGACACAGGGAGGGAATGAAAGTGAAGTATTGACAAGAGCTGGTTGACTCGCTGGGCAAACCAGGGGCTCTGGTTTCTCTCCTACTAATGTGTGAACGTGTGTCACCTCCCGCCCATTTACGAGAAGATGGCAGGTCCACTGAGTGTGCCTTTGACTTCACTTCGTGAGATTTAGAGTGGTAGCACATGTCGTGGTTATGGGAAGGGCCAAGAACTGACACGCTCAGAAGGAAGCCAGTGCAGTTGAGAGCTGTCTGGACTCCCTAGCTGCCCCCACACACACACCTTCGGCATCAGTAAGCTCTTACAGCCTGTGCCATTATGCCGCACACACAATTATTTCATGGGGTGTTCAATATAAAGAAAAAGTGGAGCCGGGCAGTGGTGGTGCAGACCTTTAATCCCAGCACTCAGGAGGCAGAGGCAGGCGGCACTCTAGTTCGAGGCCAGCCTGGTCTACAGAGTGAGGGCAGCCAAGGCTACACAGAGAAACCCTGTCTCAAATACCAAAAGAAAGAAAAGAAAGGAGAGAGAGAAAGAGAGAGAGAGACGGAAGGAAGGAAGGAAGGAAGGAAGGAAGGAAGGAAGGAAGGAAGGAAAGAAAGAAAGAAAGAAAGAAAGAAAGAAAGAAAGAAAGAAAGAAAGAAAGAAAGAGTAGGGCTGGGTTTTTATAAAATTTGTGTGTGGGGTGTGTGTGTGTGTGTGTGTGTGTGTGTGTGTGTGTAGACCAGTATCATGTCATCCCTCAGGTACCATGCACCACCTTTTGGGACAAGGTCTTACTAGTACCAGGGGCTCACCAGTTAGGCGAAGCCAAGCCTCAGGAGCCAGTCTGTCTATCATAACTCTCTGGTGCTGGGACTATAGGTTCACACAGCCACACCCAGCTTTTGTGATGTTAGTTCTGATGGCTTGAACCTAGGTCTTCATGCTTTCGTAGCAAACACTTTATCTGTTGAGGCATTTCTCTAGTCTCTACTTTCAAAAATAAATAATTTTGAATTGATTTTTTAAAAAAAAAAGTATTATAAATGTTCCTGAAGTATATTTTACAAAATGCTACACAAAACCTGAACGTGTAGAGCCAGAGATGACCGTCTTGTCATGGACACTGCCGGTAACATGTCCCTGCTGTGAATGGACTACACGGAAGTTATTCTAAAGAATAAAGGCCGAGCTTGTTCCTGACCAGAAGGTTGTAGTCATGGTTAAAAATTCCTCTCAGCAGGCTCTCCCTGCACAGTGCAGATCCCTTTAGACTTCCGATCACACGAAAGGAAGTTTATTTCTTTATTCGAGTTCATGCTGTCTGTATTTTCATTATACAGCTTAGCAGTCCTGCCAACATGAGTTCTGCTCTACACCAAGCACCACGCTCTTCCAGTAAGAAATGATAGCAGTATTAGACAAGTCTAAGATGTTCTACCTCTTACGGATGTCAGTAAACTCTAAAATAGTGACAAGTTTTATCTTGAAAGTGCTTTTCAGCAATAATCTTTTCCTTAGACACTGAAAAGTGCTCACACCTTCTAAATACCTTTAAAAGGAGGGGCCTTGATCTCCATTAGCAAAACAATAGCCATCCAGATTGTAGACCTTTACAACTTACTTTTTTATCGCCTTCCTTTCCTTTCTCTTCTCATTTCCAGGCCCTGATTATATCAAACAAAGATTTCAGGAGGGGGTAGACGTTAAAGAAAATCCAGAAGAGAAGGTACCAGAAAAGCCGCCATCCCCAAAGGAATCCCCGCATTTTTATCGCAAGGGCACCACACCCCCCAGGTCCCCTGAAGCAAGTCCCAAACAGAGCCACTCCCCCCAGCCTTCCTCCCCAAAACCCATGAAGAAACAAAACCCCGGCTCAGGGGCAAGACTCAGTCAAGAGAAAAGGAGCATGACTGAGGAGCAGGTGACAGCCATTGTCAATAAGCCCTTGACATCAAAGGCTCCTTCAAAGGAACTCGGAGCAACCAAGTTCTCTGGCCGCCATCACGTCCCCAACCCCAGCAACGGGGAGCTGCACTCTCAGTATCACGGCTACTATGTGAAACTGAACACGCCTCAGCATCCTCCAGAAGATGGGGAAAATGACGGTGGAGCCAGCCAGTCTTCTTCAGCATTGGTACACAGGCCGTCGGCTAACAAGTGGAGTCCCCCTAAATCTGTGACAAAATCAGTTGCCAAAGAAAGCAAAGCTGAGCCAAAAGCCAAGAAGTCTGAACTTGCTATACCAAAGAACCCAGCAAGCAGTGATTCCTGCCCTTCTTCAGAAAAAGAAGTCAATTCAGTAAGTCTCGCCAGAGCCCTTCCCTTGGGTGGTTGAGGGAGCAGTGTGGGGTGGGTGGTTTTACATCTTAACAACAGCCAAGGTGACAAAGGTTCACTGGATTGTTAGAGCAGAGTAGAAGATGTTTATAACTCAAGATAGCAGTGTTCTCTGGGCAGGAATCCTGAGCCTACTCAGCCACCCACTGTAGAGAATTCAGATTGGTCCAGCCCAGGATGGTCTCAGAGTTAGCAAGCATTTATGAGCATGTCTTGGCAAAGTTCATAATCACCTATTCAGTGGCCCCTAGAAGAGAAACATGGCCACTGCCCACAGCCAGTGCCTCTCTGCGTAGCAGCTAGGAGCTCTGAGTCTTCCTTTGGCCCTTTACACAGGAGCAGCACTCGCAACCGTTGGAAATTCTTATAAATGTGCGGCCTGTATTTTGCTTAATTAGCCTGGCTCTGCAATAAGAACACTTTTCTTCCCAAATAAGAATTTTTTTATAACAGCGTAATTACTTTATAACTTTCTCCGGGTGTAGTATTCCCAGACTCAGCAGTCTGATAGATACTAGTCTTTGTTGATGTGTCTTGGCCAGTAAGATTTGTGTTATTGATAAATGACTACTACATGTTTTTGACATGAAATGGATTTGGTGAGAACTATATGGAGCTGAGATTTTTATCATGTTCTGTAGAATTTATGGGATCTGAATTATTTTAGAATCCTTTTTAAAGTGACTGATTTAAATAAATTAATGTATTAGCTTAGTCCTATATGCCTCTGGGTGTTCAGGTTCACTGTGAAATACACAGAAAGTAAGACATGGCCTCTTGATGGGTACTAGCAGTTTCAAAAACATGTATACAGAAGTTTAAGCTGGAATCCTGGCCAAGTAGATAGATTATAGACTAGCCATCAGTTTCTTAGTTGTGTTTCATTTGTTCATAGGGTTAAAAAATTAAAATTCACCTTTCAAATGAACTTATGTTAATTTTTGCTTATATATATATATAATATTGATTTTTTTTCATTCTTCACTTTTTCATTAGTTAAATATAATCAGATCGCGCTAGACTAATAACTTCCTAAGAGTCAAGTTCTGTGGAAATAAATGGCTTTTAAGACAGACCAATGTAGGACATTTGAGTATTTAGCAAGCATTTATTTTTTAAAAATGTTCAAACAGTGATACACCTCATTATCTGATTGTATAATTCTACCACTGCTGATTCATTGCATGAAACAATGACTTCTCCGACATGCAACATGAATATTTATGAATTGGGCTTCATGGATATACCATTTGCCTGATTAGCAAGGGGCAAATCGGAACAGTGTCATTTCATCAATGTTACATCTTGCCTGTCCAGTAGGACATTTAATTTCTCAAATGCCACAGTGGAAACATGTGCCCAACATCTCCCTCATCAATCTGTGATGAGGAAAAAATATTGCTACTACCTATAAACCTTTCTCTATAGCAGTGTTTGTAAATGCACTACCGCTGTATTTAGAAAGAGCATAGGTTTTACTGATGTGTTCAATCTACTGGTTCATGAAGTAAGCCATGCAACGTCCAACTCAGGCTCACTGATCAAAACCCAAGCTACATACATATGAGATGGCCTTAGCAGCCCTGCATCTCCCTTAAACTGTAGGCTGCCCTGTGAATAACCATCAGATCTGGAAGGCAAGATGGACTTGGCCCTTGGTGTGAAAATGCTGCCTTCCGAATAGCATCCGGAAGCCGTCCTTCATTTCTAGTGCCAGCCCTCGTCTGGAGTTAGGAAGTGACGCATCACTATTAGAGTCGTCAGTGAATGGCCACTGAACTAACAGAGTGCTGCCTGCTCTTCTGAGAAACCGAGAGCACTGTACAAGTTCAGAGTTTATACTGAGCAGTTTGAAATTCACAGAAATACCCACACAAAAGCAGGCATGTAGAGCATGCCCATATTAAAGCAGCCAGTACTTTTGGTGAGCAGCTGGGGAAATTGCTATGTTCTTAATGCAGTACTGGGCAGAGTGAATGTTCGAGGGCCATTATTATTATCATTATCAACAACATACTGGCTGAAATATAAATAGTTAATAAATGGTTCAGTACATTCCATTTCTCCATGTTCACCTTGGAAATGTAGAAAATCTTCGGGAACATAGACTAACACTTAGAAGGAATTAATGACTTAACAAACATAGAAAGTAGGAGGTAGTCTCCTGCAGGAGTTGCAGCCCTCCCGAAGAAACTTGTGGCCCCTGCACAGTCAACTTGAGCCGGGCATCGTCTCATATTTTACATCCTCTGTTTTATTTTCCTAACTGCCTGAAGGTTTCGTCTGATCTGTGCTTAGCGTCTGTGCTGCACCTGCCGCAGTCAGTCTGGGCAAACAGGACTGAGCTTCCCTTCATTCTGCTATTTTAAGCCACCACTGGCCACCACAGCCGTATTTATGGGACTTCACTGTAAAGCTTTTCGCCCAGTGTCCTGCCTAAGGTGTCTGGAGAAAACCAAGGTTGCGGCTTGGTAGCTGCTACTTAAACACAGCATGCTAGGTTTTCGTTTTCACCCGGCTGCTGCTGCTAGAGTCTCCATTGCTGGTCTACTCTCATCTTTGCTGAGTCAGCTTTTAAAATTGCTTCCTAAGTGGAGCTCTATTGGTAGGCTAACTATACCTGAGTATTAGTGAGTGCATACACAGGAAAAAATATGTGTGTGTTCAGTAGGAAATACAAATGTATTTTTCATTCTAGATAAAGCATTTATTCTTATTCTTTGATGCCAAATTACAAGTACAATGCGATGTGGGCCAAACTTTGCAGAAAAATAGTAAATAAGTTACTAAATTCCACCAAAGACAGTCTGTCTACAAATGCCGAATACTAATCAATTCAGAAGAGTTCATGGAAACTCACAGCCCCATACCAGGGTTTGTGAACTGGGAGTTAAAGATGCGTGCACAGCTTCAGTTTGTTTTGTTTTTCCTGCTACTGGGACTGAGCATCGAGCCCAAGGCCTTCCTTGGACATACAGGCTAGGTAGGAATTCTGCCCTGCAATACACACCCAGCCCTGTCTTCAGCTTTTGATGCTGGTTTCAAAGGCACTCTGATTCTGTTTGTACTGGGTCCTCGTTAGATCCTGAACTCCATACCGTTTTGTTCTAACCCAATAGACTTTTCTTCATCCTTCATGCACCCACTATCTGTGAGAGGAATTAAATGTACTCGCCCAAAATTGAAGCAAATCCCAAGTTGTCTGCACACTTAAGAACACAGTCTAATCAAAGCATATAGTAGCCATAACATTTCTGTATTGTTTGTGCTCAAATGGGATACTGGAAGATTGCCTCCAGTATTTTGAGCTCTTACGAGTGTCTATCTCTTAAGCTTGTCCTGGTTGAGAAGTTGCATAGAATAGAACTCTTTTATTGCAGCCAGCCTCACTCTGTAGCCCAGTCTAGCCTTGAACTGATGCATTTCTCCTGCGTCAGCCTTCCAAGTGCTAAGATTTTAAGCACAAACCATCATGCCTGGCTCACCTGTTGATTGAGTAGCTGGAAGTTAGGAAGATTTTCTTCCTCTGAGAGCTGTGGGGTATAGAGGGAAATGTTGCACAGAAGAACTTCATTAGAAGTTGTGTTTTAAACTAAGGCCTGAGCTTTAGCAGAATTAGAGAAAAACAGCCTTAATCGCCCAAGTGAACAGCCTGACATTTACTTCTGGCTCTAAAGAATCCTTGGTTCATAAATAGTCTGTAAATATTCTAATACACTTATCCTCCTGAAGCCCTCTAGAATGGAACTAATAATCTCATGTGAAGAACAACTAAAAACTAAGTGATAATCTACTTAGAGATGCTTAGTCTACTGCTTGGCATTTAACTCTGTTTTTCTTCCATCTACTTGGGTCTTAAGAAGGGGGAATGACTTCTTCCTCGCAGTCCCTCCTTCACAAGGCCCTGTTTTCAGTCCCCATATACTTTACTAGCAATTCATTTGTTTTTTAATGCAGGGAGGTCACCTGTTTTGTTCCACATCCAGACCACCAGCACCTAGAGAGGTGCAGGGAGGTTGTGGGTTCTCCTTAAGCACTGGCTGCATGGGTGAAGAGGACACCCCAAGAGCCAGGCACTAGAACACAGTGAGGACCAAGTCAAATACTGTGGTGTTGAGTCTAGGTGGAACGGTAACAGTGCCACAACAGATGGCAGCAGAATGTGACACCGGGCACCCTGACCTCCCCCAGAGAGCCGTGGCCATGAGCACAGGGTAGGGATGTCCTTCAGTCAGTGATGGGTGACCTAAGCTAAGCTCTGGCCTGGAAGATGAACATTTGCCCAGACTTCCTAATTAACTGTTCAATCCTGTCGTCAGAGAAGGCACATTTGACGCCCCTGTAACCTTGTCTCAATAGAAACGTATTTATTGCACAGAGTGTAACTGCTTCCTTTTGTGTAAACTTAATTAGAACAATTCATTTTGACTTAGAGAGATGGCTCAGCAGTTCTTGCAGAAGACAGGGGTTCAGTTACTAGCACCCACACGGCAGCACATAACTACTTGTAACACCAGTAGATCCAATGACCCCTTATGGTATCTACAGGCTGAGCACACACATGGGCAGAGGAGGTGGCACGGAGGTCCTTGGGAGCTCAGGAGTGTGAAACACACAGGGTTGTCTCTTTAGTGGAGAGGTGTATCCACAGTTTTCTGCCCGGGGGCTAAGAGTGGATGTGACTGGTACCATTTGCACTATCTTGAGTGGCTGCAGCCACACTGGATCCTCCCCCAGACCCTTACCCTAAGCCTTTCTTCTCAGTTCATCTACTGAAACCATCGTTTATGGTTGCAGAAAGAGTTTTTCAATGTGGTTAAGTCGTAAGCTTTGTTGTGCATACAAGATTGAGTTCATTATCATCAGGAAACTCTTTTCCAAATTGTACTGTGCTTAAATATTCCTAAAATAAACTACTCAAGGTCAGACTCTCAAAGATTGAACTACCATTGACTGCTGAATCCTGTGGAACCAGACTGGTACTGATTCTAGTAATGTTTATCGAGATAGGACTCCACTGTTGGGTTAAGTATACTTAGTTCTACAGGGATTTGCTTATGAGTCAAGAAACAAAGAGTTAGACTTGGAAAAATAGCTTCTGGAGGTTGACGTGTTCAACTTCTCATTTGTGGTTTTAAAGGAGGGAGTAGGACCCGGAGGACGTTCTGGAAAAAAAATCAAGAGCTAAGAAAACTTCACTGCGGGCTGAGCCTATAACTCCTTTAGTAATTTAATTTCCCTAGCGTGGCAAAGGTCTGGGTTCAGTCCCTAGCACCACATAAACCAGGCCCGGTGATACACACCTGATCCCAGCACAGAGGGATGTATAGACAGGAGGATCATCACGTCACCTTCAGCTACATCATGGTTCAAGGCCAGGCTAGGATACACCAGTCCTATAAAAAAACAAATACACCTCTCTTGAGTGTTGTCCTGAATTTTTCCTTGGAGGAATAAATTCTTTGGGTTTTATTATTTTCTAACTGCCTTGATAAGGGACTGCCCTTCTCTTCTGAGTCTGCTGTACCCACAGGACAACTGTGCATCTGTGTCCCACGAGCTCCCAGCTCTCCAGAGGCCTTTCCCAGTGAGGCCACCAACCGTGTGAGATAAGTAGAGTGAGTTACAGCAGAAAAAGAAAATTTGAGATGTATTTGTGTATTCTAGAACTCACTAGACTAGGCTGACTTCGAACTCACAGACCTCTCCCTGCCTCTGCCCCCAGTGCTAAGATTAAAGGTGTGCGCTACCACACCCAACTTGAAAACACTTCTTTAACCTAGCTCAACTCTAGATTGATTTTAAGGGGAAGCTGTACAGTGAGGCCACCTAAGCGTAGCATTACTGCCTTTAGCTCACACCTTGTGGAAGGGCAGATTGTCTTTCATGCCTTAGTTTCTTCATCCATGCTCATATGCTTATATTTCTGGTACTTGGTTCTAGAAATGGGTTTGGGTAAAACAGTCATACTGAGATGGAAACACTGGGCTTGTCTTGTTCTGTTTTCTCCTTCAGGGCCCTAATTCCATCATGATTGTCCTGGTCATGTTGTTGAATATCGGGCTGGCCATTCTTTTCGTTCACTTTCTGACCTGATTGGAATTAGGAGAGGTAAGCACGAGCCTTAATTTCTATACAAAATTACAGTAGCGTTGTTTTCTCCGATTCCGATTTGCAATTTTTAGCAGTTGTCTTTCATGTTACTGTGCCTGAATGTGACTCTGTGGTTATTTAATGCTGTAACTGTTTTGACCCTTCAGTGAAGTCATGACAACTAGTGGAGTTAGCCCACAGTTCTGCCGTGGTGTCCTCAGCCCTTAAAACGGCACACCCCAGTCACACTCAGGCAAGGAGGCTTGGGATGGGCTCACCAGAGAGATGACACTTGGAAAATTCAGCCAGAGGACCTGTTCAGTTCCCCCCGGGAATGCTTTGTGTCTTTGGGGGTCCTCTGAGAGCTGAAGCATGCAGCCGTGTTGGAGAGCAAAGCTTGATACCGATTCTTTTTTAAAATCTGCTGAAGCAGCCCCATCCAGCGGAGTCCTTGGCATCGGCTACTCCATCTGTCCTAGCAGAGTGTGACTAAACTGGAAATGTATGGACCTGCAATTTTTTTTTTGATGGAAGTCAACAGCTGCCTTACTATTTTACCATCTGACGTTTTTAGTAGGGAGCTGGGGAGAGAAGACGGCCCAAGGAATGCGGTCTGAAGATTGTGTTGCGGTGGGCGTGGTTCCAACGTTCGCTCCTTTCTCATTAGAAGAAGTAGGTAGCAGCATCACCCGTCACCTGGCAGTGATTCTTCTGCAGTGACCTGCTGCTTGAGCGTCGCCTGGAATGTCCTGGGAGGGAACGTTTCATTTGCTTGTGCACGACTCTGCTCATTTTTTGCTGTATTTTTTAAAATATGTTGTATAGTCATCTTCCACCCGCAGACCTGGCTGGACGAAAACACACAGGTTGCATCTCAAGGAAAAGCAACAACGAAAGACTAGTTCAAGAAAGAGAAAAAAAAATAGTGTTTATTTTAATAGCAATACATCATTTTCATGTTGTTTATTCTTTCTAAACCAGTACAAGGCTCTTTATCTTTAAAATGTAGTGGTCTGAAGGTGTTATATCTTCCAAAGAAATAATTTATTTTAAGTGTTTTCAGCATTGCTGAGGTAATGGTTGGCACCCTCAGGAGGGGCTTCATTTTAAAAGCGGAGAGACAGCAGCATACTAAGAAGTGTAGTTGCATGGACTGCAGTAATCAGCGGTTGAGGGTTCGGTTTCATTGCTGACGTATGTTACAACCAAATAAAATCTTGTCAGTGGCTATGTTGATTCCCATGAAAGTTAAGCAAGATGCTATTAATAGCTCCTCTTCTCTTTCTTCACCCTCCCCGCCTCAAATTTTGGGTGAATGCGTTCAGGTAGATGGTGAAGCTCTGTTAAGTCGCTGCTCCTCGATTCTCTGCCTTCAATACTTTTCAAACCTGTTTTATAGTTTTATTTTAGATATTAAAGATGTAGACGGTTTTGTTTTAAATATTTGTCTCTTGCTGTCCTGTTTTGTTCTGATGTTGAAATTTTTTTCTATTATATAATTTAATCAAAAGCATGCTTACCTAGAGAAATCATGTGATCTTTATAAAAAATAATTATTTAAAAAGAAATCAGGGGAGGAAGGGTATGCCTGAGTGTCTTGAAGGTGTTACGTGAGGGGGACTCTTCCTAGATGTTAGCCATGATGTCATGGTGTCAGCCAAGTCTCCCCCTTAGCTGCCTTCTCATTGCAAAAGAGACGGTGCGACCCTGTGTCAGCACAGGTGTGGGATGCATGCTTCGTCACCTGCAGCGCAGTAACCCAGCGGTGGTTTTTCTTTGTCTGCAGAAGTGCAATATATTAAGACTCCTGGGTGTGACCAATATGGATTAAATAAGGCAGAAAGAGAGCAAATGAAAATGATATTACAACTTGTATATTTATTTTTTACATTTTGCTTTGACTTTTAAATTTAGAAAGTCCGTTTTTACTCAAGAACAAACTAAATCCCTGTGTGGGTTTCCACACTCCCCCTGATCCTTCCTTACCCCTGTAGCTCTTTATGCTGGGAAGGCTGTTTTTTTTTTTTTTTTAAGAAAATAGAATATTTAATCTTATTAAGTCTTTATTTAAATGTGTAATGCTTTGAAAATAATGGGCAACAGAGAACTAAAGGATGTTTATAAGTGAGCATGTTGGCTCCATTTATAAATATATATATGATTTATAAGCTTTTTTAAAACAAAGCTCAAATTGTGGGTATTTTTCTAAAACGTGCACAGCTGTATTTTCCATGAAGGATCTTTCTAATAGGTTGTTATACTGTACTCTACATTTTGGACAGCACATGAAGTCTGCCAATGTACTTTAAAACATGACTTTGTTTATTTAAAGTTTCTTGCTGTGAAAAAGAACTCCCTACCGGTGAGTTCCTTAATTTATAATCCTTGAAACCAAAATGTATAATGTACAGTTTCCACAACTGTAACTGCTCTAATAAAAATGTTGGTTATTAATAAAGTTGGTTGCGTCTTTCATTTGTGAGTAAATTATTGTCTGAAGCATGTGGATCGTTAGTGGTGACAATATTAAAGAGAGACCGCGGAGCTGGAGAGGTGGCTTAGCAGGTGATGGCTCTTCCTACCAAGCCTAATGATCCGAGTTCAGTCCCAGGCCTACGTGGTGGAAGAAGAGAACAGACTTCCTGACAGTTGCCCTCTATTGCCACACAAATGCCAAATAAAGAAATCTCATGAAAATTTACAAAAGATAGGTGCTGAAAAATTAACAACAGAAGGGGCCCCAAATGTCCAACCCAGCAGTGGGCAGAAGGTAAGCACACCGCTCCACACTTTTTCTCTTTTTATTGAAAATATATTTTTTTCTCACATAATATATCCTGATTATGGTTTCCCTTCCCTCTACTCTCCCATTTTCTCCCCTTCTCTCTCCTCCCCTTTTCTCCCCTCTCATCCAGATCCACCCCCTTTCTGTCTCTCATTAGAACAGAACAGGCTTCTAGGAGATGATATAAAACAAAAGCTATCACATCGAAGTTGGCTAGGACAAACCAACAGAAGGAAAAGATCCCAAGAAAAAGGCACAAAAATCAGACACCTACTTGTTCGCACACTCAGGAATTCCATAAAAACTCTAAACTGGAAACAATAATACGAGTACCCAGGAGCTGGTGCAGTCCCATGTAGGCCCTGTGCGTGTTGCCTCGGTCTTTGTGAGTTCATATGAGCTTTGCCCACGTTGAGTTTGTTTCCTTGGTGTCCTCCATACCCTCAGGTTCTTACACTCTTTCTGCTTCCTCTTCTTCAGGCTTCTCTGAGCTCTGAGGGGAGGGATTTGATAGAGACACTCCATTTAGAGCTGTGTGTTCTAATTTTCTCACTCCCTGGCTGTGGGTCTCTATTTGTTCCCATATGCTGCAGGAGGAAGCATCTTTGATGACAATTGAACAAGAAACTGAGCTGTGAATGTAGCAGAATATCAATAGAAGTCATTGTATCACTTAAGGGTTTTGTTGTTGTTTGTTTGTTTTTTTTTATTTTTTGACCATTAGTATTTACCCTAGGTCCCTGGGCTAGTCTGATCCTTGATCATCCAAGTATCAGGTATGGGTTCCAGCTAATGGAGTGGGCCTTGAGCCAAATCAGTTATTAGTTGGTTACTCCCACAGACTTTATGCCACCATTGTACTAGCAGATCTTATAGACAGGACACCATGGTAGATCAAAAGGTGTGTGGCTGGCTTAGTATTTATATTTTATTTTTGGAAGTATGTTCCTGTACCAGGGGTGAAGACTCCATGTAGGCACCAGCCTTACTTCTTCATGTTCAATGAGTTGTATAGATGTTGTCTTCAGCAATGGGATCTTGCTGTCAGTTTGTGGAAAGAAACATCTTGGCAACATTCTGGGTCTTTTGGGAGTTCCCATGGTACTCCTTTGGCCAACAACTCAATTAGATGTAACCCAATCCCAGTACTGGAAACTTTATTTGATGACAAAAGATGTGATTCCATCTCCCCCATGTTTGTCAGTTTCATTTAGATCACCTTCTTACATGCATATTTTAGGAAGTTATTACTGTATTAGTTTTTTATATTACCCCTAGAGCACCCTTAAATTTTAGTTATTCCTACTTGTATTTTCTCCCTCCTTGATTGCTCTGTTCCACCCCACCATCCATAATTATAATTGTATATTATATTTTCTATTTCCCTTTTCTAACAAGATCTATCTGTATCCTCTAGCCCTTTAATCTATAACTACATTCTGGGGTTCTATAAATTGTTGCTTTTGTTATCATTGACTTAAACAGCTAGTACCCACATAACAGTGAATACATACCATATTTATCCTTCTGGGTCTAGGTTACCTCACTCAGGATAAGTTTTCTCTAGTTCCATCTATTTGCCTGCAAGTTTCATAGTGTCATTTTTTAATGACTGAGTAATACTCCATTTTGTAAATGTATCACATTTACTATATCAATTTATTCTGTTGAGGAACAGCAGGACCATTTGTAATCTTTGGCTATCATGAATAGAGTAGCAATGAACATGGCCGAGAAAGTGTCCCTGTGGTAGAATGAAGCAACTTTTGGGCACATCCCCAAGAGTGGCATAGAGAGATCCCAAGGAAGATCAATTCCTATCTTCCTGAGGAACTGCCACACTTATTTCCAGAGTGGCTGTCTCAGGCAAACTCTGCAGAAATGCCAAGAATATTGAGCATTCAATAAAATTCATGTTGTCTCCAGGAAAAGCAATGAAGTCCTATTTCAGGACTGTGTATGTTACATCCTTGTCATATATGGCACACAGTAGAAAGAAAATAAATACAAGTTTCACCATCCTGTGCAGTGAAGGCAAACACAATAGAAGAGGCCAAAGGTCATCTAATGTTCTCATTTTCCATGGGTATTTGGATAACTACATCTCACTAGTACAGCAAGTGCCTAATTGGTACATGGCCTCTCCTAACATTGATAAAAGGCCAGGACTAAAGAACTACCAATGGCATTTTAAAAGCAGCTTTAGCTCCTATAATCCCAACACTCAGGAGACTAAAGTATGATGATAGAGAATCCAGAGCCAACCTGAGCTACATAGCAAAATCATATTTCAAAATGTTCTTTTAAATATGTAAATGCAGCTTGATGTCAAATGCTTGGATCACATAAAAAGTGACTAGGAGTTAGAAACATTCGAGTCTATCAGTCATATAAAAGTATACACATATCACTTAAGTCACAGTAATCACATTTTTGCATTATGATATGGCCACGAGCCTCTGGGGGCCAAGGAGAAGAATGTGGTGGGTTGAATGAGAATGCCCACCATTGACTCGTATATTTGAATACTCAGTCACCAGTTGGTGGAACTATTTGGGAAGGATTAGGAAGTGAGACCTTGTTAGAGGGGAAGGCATGTCACTAGAGGTGGGCTTTGGGATTTCAGAAGCCTACAACCTCCTGTTCCCCTTCTCTGCATCACATTTGTGGATCAAGATGTGTGCTCTCAGCTACTACCTCAGTGCCATGAAAGTCTTGCCCCTCATTATGGTCGTGAACTCTAAACCTCTGAAACTGTAAACACAAACTTTCTTCTATAAATTGTCTTGGTCATGGTGTCTTATCACAGTAATAGAAAAGTACTAAGAGAATCTGACTTGTCAGGATGCATATGGTGTGAAGGATTTATTTTAATGTCTCATCGTTCCTTAGTGCGCACTGTGCTTTCCTCACTATTTCCTTACTTGTGGTTTGATTTTTTTCTATCAAAATGTTTGTAAAATAAAATATCCTCCCCTGTTTTCTGATAATCCTGTCTATTGTTTTCTTATAGCATACATTGGAGTTTCTAGTGGTTTGTCCAAACTATTAACAATCCACCTCTTTTTGTGTTGACAGTCTAAAGAATACTTGTAACCAAGGAAGCACTCCAACCTTCTTGATAGCCCTCCCAACTTTTCAGAAATTTTAACTCTGCTGTGTGTTCAATACAAACCTGCAGAACCTGACTCTGCATTGCCCCTAACCATAGTGACTTATGTGTCTCCCAAGCCAGTTACATGCTTCCACATACAACTCACCAAGGTAGTTTGACCTATAGGTCAGATAAGGAGGATATCACTTTGAATAAAAAAAGTGTAAGAAGTTGGGTAGGGGAGACTACTCATTAGGTAAAGTGTTTGCCACAAAAGCATGAGGACCTGCACTCAGATCCCCAGGACCTGCACAGAAGTTAGAACTGGAGACATGTCTGTAACCCAGCTGGGAATGGGGACAGCCAGGCAGGTCCCAGAGGCTCACGGGCCATCCAATCTAGCCAAAATGCAGAGTTCTGGATTCAGCAAGAGAACTTGCTTAGTTCCTAAAGAGCAAGTCTGAGGGCCTTCATACCTTTCCTTTTTGTGTTGGTTATTGTTGTGTTCGCTTTGTTTTGTGATGGTAGGCACTAGGGATCAAACCCAGGAGTCTCACTATACTGGGCAAGTGTGCTGCTATGAGCTGTCTCCCAGTCCTCTGTTTTGAGCCAGAACCTCAGTCTATTGTCCAGCTGGCTCTGGACTGACCCTGCGGCCAGAGCAGGCTTGATTTTTGTGATCCTCCTACCTCAACCTTGAGGTTGCCTTTACCAACAAGCAAGCCTGGCTTAGAAGATCTGCATTTCTAACAGTGCCCTGGGTGATGTGGCGACTCTGTCTCAGTGTCTCTCAGCCTTCCTCATGCTGTGACCCTTTAATACTGTTCCTCATATTGTGATGACCCTCAACCATAAAATTATTTTGTTGCTACTTCATAATTGGAATTTCGCTAATGTTATGAATCATAATGTAAATACTTGGGGGAATAGGGGTTTGGCAAAGGGGTCACGACCCCGAGGTTGAGAACTTCTGCTCTGGCACATCCCATTACAGTGGTCTATGAGTCTGTTCTCCACAGGGCTCCTATGCGCAAGTGCCAGTGAGTACCTGCGTTCATGGACCTTGCTTGGCTATGTAAATGACGCAAGAGGAAAGACTGAAAAGAAGACATATATAGTAACATATTACTTCGTGCTTACAGTAGCT